AGGGAAAAAAAAAAAAAAAAAAACCCACAAGAAAACAAACCTGGGGAAAACTCTCAATGTAAAACTACAGATAGGGTCTTGTAAACTACTGCTCCAAACTGTTACACAAAGAATTTTTTCCTTGAGAACTTTGTTTGGAATTTATTTTAGTTATCTGCTTACTCAGAAGCCATTCTGTGGCAGGTTATTGTTGAATGACATTGGGTTTTTTTTTTTGCCTGCGTTAGTTACAAAACCGTGTTGCTTATGCAAGGTTGTTGTATAGGGTTACTTGCCTGTTGAAGGCCATGTGGCCGAGTTGCACTGCTGCACTTGGGCTTAGGGCACTGAGGGCACCCTTGGCTGCCAGCACAGCCCTTTCATTTTGGGGTGCTGGCTCTACCCTGGGTAATGTTTGCCTTCCGTAATAGCTGGGAGTCAGTGTGCTGAAATGATCAGTGCCACGTGGGATAGTGAAGTGCCCAAACACTGCATGTGGGGCTGTGGGTGTCCCACTGCCTTCCTGATGTCTGGGTGGATCTGGGCAGCGCTTGGATGCGCCTGCTGGTGGGCGGGCACTGAGGCGTCAGCTCTGAGCATCTCCTTGGGGAGCAAACGGACAGGATTCATGGTTCTTACGTTTTATTCTTTTAAAGTTAAAAATGAAGATAAGGAGGTTTGTTTTGACAGCCTGAAAGACACAGGCTGCTTTATTTGCAGCCTTTGATTTAGACAGAATTTAAATTCTGTATTTATTTATTTCTTCTGTGTAGCAATTTGTGTTGTGAATATCTTGGACATTCTGTTTATGTGAAATACTGATGTTGATACCTTGCTTTCAGGTATCATTTACGGGAAAATAACTACCTTTGCGATATGTATATAAATTCACCATGCCGCAGTTACTTGAAATTTCTCTGTCAAGAAGGAGCTGCTCCCGCGCTGGGACTCTTGCAGGTGGCGGCGGGCACCGCTGACCAGAAGGCGCACCCGGACAAACGCGGGGGGCGGGGCGGGGCGCGGCGCTCTGCAGCGGGCGGGGGTGGGGACGAGAGTCGGCGCGGCCGCTGCGGTTCCGCTCGGTCCGCGCCCTTCGCCCCGCGGGTTGCGCTGCTCCGCCGCAGGAGATGAGGCCGCTCTGAGGAGCCGGGTATAAACGCGATATTTGTAGCGTCTGTAAAAGTTTCCCACGTGCTGCAAACTAGTCCGTTTGTGTCGCGTCACATGATCAAAATATTCCACCCTTTCCCCCCCCCCCCCCCTCCCCCGGCCGTTACCAGCAGCGTTCTATCGCTGCTCCACCATCGTGCTGCCGGGCGGCTCGCCAGGACGCGGGCACGGCTCCGAACCGCGCCGTTCCCCGGACGCGCTGCGGGACAGCGCTGCGCCCAGGTGCCTGCGGCAGGTGCTGCGGGCCGGAGAAGCTGCCCGTTGTCTGCGAGGGGCGCCGCTTCCATGCTTGCACTGTGCTTCTGTTACGGTGTGTATATTTTCTGCAGTCAGGAGCCTATCGTGTATTGCTTGCCGTCCCCCTCCCGGCGCAGAGGCAGTTTTCCTGCGAGGGAACCCTCAGAGCTGCTATTTCCGTGATAGCTCTGGAATTTTGACTTTCTGTGAAATGCTGTTTGTTGTTGTTGTTGAACATGTGGTATGCAAATACAGGGAAAGAGCAACTGCAAAGTATTTTGTTGTGGTTCTTTTAAGTATTAAAAACACATTTTGCTTTTCTAATAAACCCCATAACCAGACCTTTTAATGTTTTGATATAAATAGCAATTACACTAACTGAGATCCAACCACAAAGAGAAAGAAGACATTTAAAATCATTCAGAAGAAGAATTCCTGCCTTAATTGAGCTCTTCCTTTGATGAGGAGGGACTGATGGCACATCTGTAGCGAGCTCTCTGGTGTTTTTTAGCAGCGTCTCGCAAGTTCTCAACGTGTTGCTGTGCTCTCCAACATTTGAGTGGAAAAAAGCTATTTCACAGGTTAGGAAGGGCTCCGAGTGTGCTGCAGCCTGAGCTGTCAGGAGTTCTGTGTGCAAGGACCACTGACAGCCAGAGCTTCCTGAGGCCCTCTGCAAGGTTGAGGTTTAGATGCATGGGTTGGTTGGCTCATAGTTTGGGGATTGGGTTGTATGTGAGGGACTGCCTGCCCCATGGAAATCTTGCATTGCCCCCGTTCGTACATTCAGTTCTTCAGAGCTCATTTCTCGTAATGGAGGGGGGAAGGGCCACAGGAGGCTGTGGGCAGCAGCAGGGCCCTGGGTGCCTGTTCTTCCCTTTTGCTGAGGATGCCATGCTGCTTTATGTCAGCTGCACTATGGAGTACAGTTGCTCAGGGCTTTTCCTGCTTTGTGTTCTGCAAGGAGAGTGAAGTGTGTTTGTCAAGTACTTTCTTCTATCTCATTTCATTCCTTACCAAAGATTTCTTTTGTCCGAACGTTGTGATTGTTGTTGTTGTTCCTTTGTTTTGTTTGATACGCCTTTTAAAATGTAATGTTACCTTTGAATTCATCTTTCTCACTTTCTAACCCATTGGGGTGATGGAGAAGCCATCCCATTGGAAGTCTTCTCCCATTTTACGGTTGTGCGAGAGCAAGAAGTGTGAGCACACATCTCAGTAGAGATGGCTTTTGAGCCATCCTGATACCCATTGCCACCTGTGACTTGTGTTGCTTCTCTCTTCTCAAGGGGATCTCTCACAGAAGTTGTTAGGGGAAGGATGGCAGCAGGGAAGGTGTTGGCCAGGCAGTTCCCCATGTAGGCTGCTTTCCTTGAGGGTTATGTGGTGTTTGTGGAAAAAAACCAAACCCTAATAGGATTAGGAGGAATCAAACATCTGAAGGTTAGGGCGTAGAAAGAAGCAAGCTGCCGGTGATGTTTGCCTGTTATTCCCCCATGCCGTATTTTCTCAGGGGATGCAGCTCATTAAGATGGTGAATAAAGCTGTTCTTCTAGGAAGATACCTTAACAATTCAAATAGGAGCAGAGGCCAATTCCTCCTTGTGTGGTGATTTCTAAGTTCTGCTTTGCCCCTAAAGTACTGAGATATAAGTTCACAACACTTGTTTGTTAGAAAAATCTCAGGTTTGCCTGTGGTAGTTACTGCTCTTTTGACTTTGAAAAAGCTGAGCTTGACTCATCCTGTTTACTCCTGCTCTATGCTCTTGCTTTGGTTTGACTTTTTTCTTTGCTTTGGGTCAGTGCATTCTCTTGAAGTGATGGAGAAAGAAAGTAGATACTTTTCTGTTTAAGACTACAGCTGGTCATGGCATCGTAACAGAAGATCTAAACAATTCAGATTTCAGGTGGTGTATTTCCTTTTTAGAAGTCCTTGAACTCGCATGTTCTTGCTCTACTATAGCAAGTTGCCTCAGACAGGGTGCCAGGAGTAGGCAGAACTGTAATTATTCTTGAAAATAGAAGGGTTATGTCTAACTTTTTCGATGGTGGGAGACAATATACTGTTTGTTTGTTTGTTTTATTTTTCCCCTCCAAGTCCACATCTGATCTGGAGCGTTCAGTGGCATGATTTGCCTGTCGCTTTAGATTCATGCTTGGAAATAAGCAAGGAATTTTTCTTTTTAATAGAGTTCAATCTTTAGATACTTATCAGAAGATCCAGTGGATATTCCTCAAAAAGAAGGCTTTTTGTTCCTTTTGACTTTCAAGGATTAGGGGCTGAAAGTAAGAGCAAATAAGCAGATGAAAGACTGATGCACATAAGTGTATTGAACAAAGCAGGCATGTGCCTTTTGTGTGGATATCAAGCCAGAATTTTATTTTATTTTTTCTTTCCCCAAAGATGGTAATTGGAGAGCATATATTGACTGTAGTGGCTGAATGAGCATTCAGAATCTTTGAAAAAGCCAGCTTCGAAGGTTGGGACTCATCTGACTGTATGTGTTGCAGGCATTTATATCTGATCTTATTGTGAGGGCTTGCCTTGTCTTAGGTGCAGGGAAACAGTCATTTCTGGGTAAGAACTGTCTCATCTTAAAGCAGATGTGGCGTGCGGGTCTGATGAGTTGCACCTCTAATTTCCACCTTATCCCACTCACTGTAAAGAAAGTATTGAGCAGACAGGCTTAAGTGTTGGTGTTCAGCAGGTGAAATTAATTCCTTCTGCTGTTTGTAGTGTTTTCAAATCATACAGGCAAGTGAACCCAGCTTTCTGTTTGGAGTTCTGGACTAACCTTTCTCATCATCGTCCTGGTAAAACTAATGTTTTAATAGTAATTTCTTGCTAAGCTTGTTAAGATACATTTCTTCTTGTTCTTCTTATAATACCTGGTCAGGGTTTTTACTGTTGCTTTTCTTATGTTATGTTACATTTTTTCATGTAAGAACTGTCAGCGCTTCTTTTGAAGCGCATCTGTAGACAGGAGTCATACTGGCAGATTTGAAAACAGTAGAATGAATTTTCAGAGTAGTTGACCTGAACGCTTAGGGATGCTATTCCTGTGCACAGGTGCCAGCTTTGGAAAAAGGATCTTGTCAGGCAGGTGTTGCTTCATGATCCGTTGCAAAGCTCTGTGTGGTTGCAACTAGACGGCCCCTTCTTTGCAGGCGCTGCCCACATTGGTGCTCCTGCTCTCCAGCCCTTCCAACAGAGCTCCATTTTTAAGAGATCTTTCTGATAAAGAGACAATTTGTTTGTTTTAAACTTGAGTTTTTTGAGCTCTGTATACTCTGAAAAGTTGAATATTTTTCAAAAGAGGCTTTTACAGTTTGAAGTTCAACTGATGGCACACTTTTTTTAGATGTACTTTCTTCCTTCCCCCATGAATGAGGGTAGGAGGAAGCATGGCCTCCTCAGGGTTGGCTGAAATGCTTTAACTTCTACAGCAAGGAAGGTGAGAATGGAATTGTCAAAAGAATGGGACTAAATTACTGAAACACTGACTGTTTAAAGTAGCTTCAGTGTGCTATAAAAGGCATGATTCTTAACAGTTAAATGTATAAACAGCACCACGTTCTCTCCTTGAACCTGATTTCTCACCACTCGCTTTCTGTTATGGGAGCCTGAATCAGTATGGGAGAGATCACAGCCATTCTCAAAGTGTTAGTTTACGATGCCTCTGCCAGAAGAATAATCTGTCACCATATAGGATAGTAGAGAGAGAGGCACTTACAGGGAAGATTAATTGAAGTAATTCATCACTTTAAAATGAAGAAGGTTCATCACACAAAAATAAAAGCTAAGTATTTCATGTGCCTCTATTGGAATTTGATAACCATTTGTTTTGCTACGAAATCTATGTGAACTGGGCACCTAACGCTTGTCTACAGAAGGAAATTTACCAGTACAACTACATGCTATAATTATATGCTATAATTATACCAGTATAACTCCCTATGGAGACCCTCTTACTCCAGAATAAGAGTTTTTGTGGTTTATCTCATTCTGCTTCCAAAGCACGTAGGCTTCAGTGGAGAAGGGTACTCTTACACCGAAGTAAGTTTCCACTCTGAGTTAGTTATATTGGTATAATTATGCATTTTCTTCCTTCAGTGTAGACAAGCCCCTAGTGTCTTTTCAGCTTTGAACTTTAGTTAAGAATTTCTTGGTCATGATAAGTGTCTAAGCATTTACTTAGTACATTTTTGTGATGGAGCTTGGGTTTTTAACCAATTACTTAGGCCAATTAACAGGTTCCTGGGTCGTGGATAACAATAGGATATAAAAAGGGATCAAAATTCATGTTCCTTGCTGCTTGGATATATCTGCAGTATTTCCCCTTCTGTGGTTTTACAGGTACTTGGCGTACAGCACAACAGGTGGAGTTGTCTGTGGCTGAATAATGAGTTCTGCGTTGGACACTTTTTGTCTCCTGTTCCTCATTATTCCTTGAGCTCTGTTGTGCTGCGCCTCTAATTGCGTGCATCTCTGTGGATCTCTGAAAGTGGCTTCCTTGATGAAGTTGAAAAAAACGCTCCCAAAAATGTTAATTGTTTGGAGAATTAGTGAAATTTACTGATCTTCACACAAGGCAGACAGGACCATAATTGATGTGCTAGGCACAAGCTGTGCAAGGACCCCTCAAACTGGATGCAGAGGGAAGGCAGGGTGTAGATACTCTTCTGGGTGTGATGCGCTCCAAGGAAGGGTGGAGATGTGCAGATGTCTGATGGGGTTGGTCTCTCTCTAGAATCGGGTACCTAGAGCTGGGCATTGATGTGGATACCGCTTTGACATTAGCTGGGTGCTTTGGCTCTCTTCTGCCAGTGTCTTCATTACTGCCTCGAACACACCTCACTCATCTTCATCTGCACGCCTCCCTCAGAGTAGAATAATGAACTCTTCTTATTTAAGCAGTTTCTGCAAACAGCAACATCAGTGTTTTAGAAGTGTCTTTTTAATCTTTTTTACTTCTTATGAAATAACTAGTTTGAAAACATACTTTTTTTTCATCCCCTTAACTTTCTTTTATCAATATTTCTAGTATGCTGGTAGCGTTATAAATTCCATGTTGTC